CTTCTCCCTCTTCTACTCCCCATGCTTGTGTTCCCTCTCTCGCTGTGTCTCTCTCTGTCAAATAAATCAATAAAAATCTTTAAAAAAAAAAAAAAACCAGTTTTATTGAGGTATAACTTACAGGCAATAAAATGCTCCTGTTTTATGTGTACATTTAGATGAGTATTGACAGATTTATGCAACCATGTAACTACCACCTGAAATCAAGATATCCTTGTGTTCCTTTTGACGTAGGTATTTCCACAAAGCAGATGTACTAAAAACTTTGTAAAAAATGTGTTATTTTTATTACTTTTATTTTTTTCTCTGTTCAGATGATGACAGTGAGCCTATTCTGGGGCAATGGTTTGAGGAGACCATCTCCCCCAGTAAAGAGAAAGTGGCACCTCCACCTCCTCCCCCGCCCCCTCCGCTGGAGAGCTCTCCTCGAGTTAAAAGCCCCAGTAAACAGGCCCCCGGTGAGAAGGGCAACATTTTGGCTAGTCGCAAAGATCCTGAGCTGGTAAGAGTGGATTTCTGAGGTTTAGGGGAAGGAGAGATGGGGAGAAGGGGTGTGAAAAGCAGATCGTTTGAACTAAAACATTTTGTAGGTTGGGTTAACTGTAATATTTAGATAGTTTTACTTAACACTTAAGTGTACTGATGGTGTTTGATTAAATGATTTGTACTCTTGGTATTATTTCTTTGATTGAGGGTTAGTAACATAGCCTTTGGAGTTAGAAGTGAGTTTGAATCCTTCTTCTACCACTACTGGCTCTGAGACTTTGGGAGAGATTCTAAAATTCTCCAAGCCTCAATTTTGTATTCTGTCATATGGGAGTGATTGTACCTGCCTTTAGGGGTATTGTGAAGAATTAAAGAGCCCTTAGCATAGGTGTGGGCCATCGTTAAGTGCTTGCTAATTATTTGTTCAAGCAGCATTTCTAGATGTACTATCTATCAACGCTCTTCTAAAGCTATATCGGTAAAACAAGTCAGATATGGAACACACTTTCGTACAGCTTAGTCTAGTCCAGGTTGTGGACATAAAACATTTACACAATAATTCAGTTTCATTTTGAGAGAGAAGTAAAGAGCTGGGAATTCTGTGTGTGTATAATGATCATACAGGCTTCAGAATTCCTTATTTCAGTAATGTCCTTGAGCTGAAGAAATGCAGGGCCTTTAGAGGAATGACAGAAACAAGTCTCTGTCAAGAGCCTCTGTCTTCACATGGTGTTTTCTGAAGTGTGTTGTGTTCAACTGGGTGCCATTTTGTGTAACTGGTAGAATTATGTGGGAAAGATTATCATAATTAAATTTTGTCCCACTGTAGGGGATTTAAAATCTGACTCTTTAATTCATTGCATCTGTTGCATCAGATATGTGGGCATGTTTTATTTCTCTTTATATTCAGGATTTGGAGGCACTCTGGGCTTATGGCCCTGACAAGGTTCTTTATGTTCTTTTTAGTTCTTAGGTCTGGCTTCCAACATTTTGAACTTCATCACTTCTTCCATGCTGAACTCGCGGAACAATTTTATCCGAAACTACCTGAGTGTGTCTCTCTCAGAACACCACATGGCCACCCTGGCCAGCATCATTAAGGAGGTGGACAAAGATGGACTCAAGGGTCAGTAGACAGGATAGGGACCTGGTGGATTTTTTTCCCCAGTGGCGTTTGGCTGTTGCCTGGGCGGTATGATGCATCAGGGGCTGCTTGAATAATCAGTGTCCTTATTTGCCTTCCAGGTTCATCAGATGAAGAGTTTGCTGCTGCTCTTTATCACTTCAACCACTCTCTGGTAACTTCTGACCTTCAGTCACCCAACCTGCAGGTTTGTGTGCACTGGGACCTTCGGCCAAGTGCTGTCTATGTCTGCTCCCAGTAGGCTGTAGTGTTCCAGTTGTAAAGGAGCATGGCTTGTGGTGGAAACCCCCTCACTGGAAAGAGTTTGAGAGATTATTCTAGTATGTCCCACTGCCCCATCAGGAGCATTTCAAGAAAGAGAAAATGTGTTCTTTATCCCTAAGGCTTTCAGTAAGCTTAAAGCAAAGGAAAAACTACAAAACCAGCTCCTAATGACTGCCCTAGTAGACAGGTGGACAGAATAGACAAGAGGGCAGTTTATAAAAGGAAATATCAATGGCTAACAGTCCTAGGAAATGCTTAACTTCATTAGTAATCTAAGAAATCCATGTTGGGAATGGTGTGTTTTATTTTTATTTTATTTTTTAAAGATTTTATTTATTTATTTGTCAGAGAGAGAGATAGAGAGCACAAGCAGGGGGAGCAGCAGGCAGAGGGAGAAGCAGGCTTCCCGCTGAGCAAGGTGCCCAGTGCGGGACTCGATCCCAGGACCCTGGAATCATGACCTGAGCTGAAGGCAGATGCTTAATCGACTGAGCCCCGCAGGCGTCCCTGGAAATGTGTGTTTTAAAAGAGTCATTCAAATTACGGGAGGTAGATGCTTTCAGATACACGCCTACTTGCAGACTCACCACCAGAATAAAGCCTAGGATCTTGATGGTAGGCCTTAAAAATCTTAGGGTTTTCTCTCCTCACTAGTAGGTGATGTCTTGAATCCTGTATCTCAAATTCCCCCTTTCATTAGTTTCATATATATATTTATTTTTACATTTATATTCCTTAAATTTTCAAACTATTTGATTACTTTTAGCTTTATAGTAATTGTTGATACCATGCTCTATATAATCTTGTTAGGCTTTCTTTTTTCATTTAATATTATTTAGCATTATATTGCCAAGATTCATCTATACTCTTGCTGATTCTGTAGTTTTTGTTTTGACTGTTACATGCTATCCTGTTGTGTTTGTGACTGTACCAATTTGTTACCTCCCCTCTGCTCCCACTGGTGGACCTTTCGGTTGTGTCAGGGTTTGTTGTTACTCTAGCTGTTGCTGTTATCTTGGGTCCCCTGGCATAACAAGGGGTTCTCCTGGGCAGATAACTAGGAGTAGAATTAGTAGGATACTGAGTATGTGACTGTAAGCAGGGATGCCAGACTTGCTCTCTAAAGTAGCTGCACTGAGGGGGCGCCTGGCTGGCTCAGTCGATAGAGCATGTGACTCTTGGTCTCGGGGTTGTGAGTTTGAGCCCCATGTTGGGTGTAGAGATTACTTTAAAAAAAAAAAAAAGCTGCACCAAGTTTTACCATCAGCAACGTGTCACATTTGTGGATTCACTTCTTCTCCCAACATTTGACCATGTCGTGTTTTTTTTTCCCAAGTGCAGCGTGGGACTTGAACTCATGACCCTGAGATCAAGACCTGAGCTGAGATTAAGAGTCAGACACTTAACCGACTGAGCCATCCAGGTGCCCCGACAGTGTCGTATTTTGATAATAATTTTTCTAATGTGGTCAGAGTTAGTGATTCTCAGTGTTTTAGTTTACGTAAAGATCCCTGGGGAATATAATAAATGGAGATTCCTAGTGCAGCTACCCCTCACTTCCCTTAGAAGACTTATATTTGGTAGAGCTCTCCAATAGTTTGCCGAAAATTGTTGTGAAAATTTTTTGTTATTCTTAAGATTATTTCAGTGGATTCTCAGAACCAGGACACAATTTAGGGGTTTGCACTTGCCCCCAAAGGGACAGGATCTAGGAAGCTATTTCAGAAGGTTAAACTTGATTCTTACTATCCTAAGTTACTTGAAAAACTCTTAAAAATTTATTTCATCGTTAAAAAATTTATTTCATCGTACCTATTTATACGTACCTAATGTTGAAAAAATTTGCTTTGGGGGCGCAGTCAGTGGCGGCATAGTCAGTGGAGCGTCTGACTCTGGGTTTTGGTGCAGGTCGTGATCTCAGGGTTGTGAGATCGAGCCCCGTGTCAGGATCCATGCTAAGCTTGGAGTTGGCTTGAGATTCTCTCTCCGTCTTCCTCCGCCCCTCCCCCTGTGCATGCACGTGTGTGTGCGTTAGCTCTCTCTCAAATAAATAAATCTTTAAAAAAAATTTTTTTTGGCCAGGAAAGGGACTATAACTTGAGTGGTAAAGTTGTTGATCTATCTATGATGAAGAGAAGAAAATGCTTCAGTTAGCATATGGCCTGTAGCACCTTCTCAGACTGTGTAGGGTCAGGATGTCCTGCGAAAGTTATCAGCTCCTTGCTGAGATCTAAGTTTATTTAGGGAAGTTTCAAAGTTCATAGACTTGGCCTTTTCCTGCCTAAACTTGTCCAAATAATGGGGGAAGAAATATTTTCCTGTAGAGAATAAGAGTTCTTAAGATTCCTGTAATGATGTTGCCCTCTTAGCATTTAAAAAATAATTCCAGACCTTGTGTGGACATGCAACTTGGCTGCCCATAACCACTGACTTTTTGGAGAGCAAATTATCAAACTTCCCTCTTCATTCCATTTCCAAACATGGGACTTTAAATTCTTCCCTCAAATTTCATTGCTATGATGGAAGAAAGTGAAGGATGGTTAGTGTAATTTAACTATCTGTTATTGATATTGTTTCTCTGGATTCATGTACAAAGTTTTTTTTTTTTGAGAGAGAGTGCATGTGTGCTTGGCGCGGGGTGGGGGGCAAAGGGAGGGGTAGAGAGAGAATCTTAAGCAGGCTTCACACATAGTGTGGAGCCTGACACGTGGCTCCATTTCATGACCCTGAGATCATGACCTGAGCTGAAACCGAGTTGGATGCTTAACTGACTGAGCCACGCAGGCATCCCACATACAAAGTTATTTACCCAAGGTGTCTGACTTGCATTGCAAGACATACACAGCGTTCTTTAAGGGAAGTAAATGAAATGGAGCCCAGTCTGTGAAAGAAAACAAATGTAAGTTACATCATAAAAACTTTCTTCACCTGTCAGAATAATAAAAAACTGGTTCTGAATTAGTAAGACCGCTAGGCTTTCTCTACTTATGGAAGAAATCAAAACCTATTTATTGAAGAAGACTTATGAACATCTTGGGAAGAGGACTTTCTCCTAAAAGGCCATGTGCTTGATTGGCATGGCCTCTCTGTTCTTTCAGATTTGTTTAATAGAGCAGTCTACTGAGATGATTTGTGTCTTCTGAAGCCAAATGAGAAAGCAGGCTTTGTCTGGCTTTCTGTTGGCATTCTGCTCTATTGACCATTGGTGATTAACTCAAACTAGCCGCGGTTGGGGATGGAGCTGAAAGGTTGGGGATCCAGCCCTCTAATCATGTGGTTGGTTCCCCTGGCAATCAGCCCCCATCCTGAAGCTGTCTAGGCGCCTCATTATCATAAACACAGGTGTTATTGAAAGGGGCTTATTATGAAAAGCAAAATACGTTCTTCTCACTCCTGTCAGGAAATGACAAGATTTTTAGGAGCTCTGTGCCAGAAATGGGACAGAGACCAAATATGTGTTTCTTCTTATATCACAGTATCACAGGGAGTTAGTGTTTCATGGGCATAGAGTTTCAGTTGGGAAAAATAAAGTGCTGGAGATGGATGGTAGTGATGTTTGCATAGTGTCTATGTACTTAATGCCACGGAACTGTACATTTAAAAACGATTTAAGTGGTAAATTTTATGTTACATTATTTTATCATGACGTAAGTAAAAATAAGACACACACCTGGCATATAGTATTAGTTCCTACTAAAGATTAGCTGCTATCTTTATTAGTTTGTTACTATTACTATTATTGTTTTTAATGTTATATTTGTTATTAACATATTTGTTGTCTTACATTTATTACTATTACGTGTAGGAGTATAATAACTTAATATTATGTAGTGGTCTAGGTCACTCATTCATTCACTGAGTATTCATTGAGCATCTACTATGTCCCAGGTAGTGTTGCAGGCACTGAAGAAATCCAGATGACTTGAATTAGTTTGGGATCATGAGGAAAGGGGGTGGGTGATACAGTGTGGATAAAGGGCCCGCGGTAGAGATCATGGGAAATTATTTGACCAGGGTAAAGGACATGGATAGGAAGGACCTGAGATAATGCCTGCCTTTTCAACCCAAATGAGACCAGAAGAGTGCTGTTGTCTTTCATAGAAAAGGGACATCAGCAAGGAGAGTTGGTTTGGTGGTAGAGGAGCTGTCGTGAGTGTGTAGGGAGCTCACTCCTAGGTTTGAGTCAGCTCGGGTTCTTTTTACTCACGGTTGCAGGTTTGCTCAGAATGAACCTCTGGGTTCTTAAGCTACATGAGGCGCATTGTGCCGTTTTCTCTTTGTTCTGAAAAACAAGCCGGGTCTACTTACCCACACAACTTGCAGTCCCTTGTGGTCGGCCAGCCTGGAAGCCACTGTGCAGTAGAGCTTGAGTGCGAGGCTTTCTTTTCATGAAGGAGTAAGCTAAAGGCAGTGAACTGTGGTGTTACCATGGGATTGTGTTGCTTCCTGTCAGGATGGGGAATTTTATAGCCCTTTCAGTCCAATGAGAAAAGCAGTTCGTATGTTTTTGTATATGGGCATTTTATATGAGTATTGTATATAAGAATTGTATATTTTATCAATGTTTTTAGTTAAAATAGTTGCCACTACTACTGTTAAAAAAATCATTTTAAATAGGAAGACATTTTGAGGTGCCAGTGGGGTGAAGACATGTAGAAAGTAGTTGGAAATGTGAGTCTGAAATTCAGTTCTTAAAAAATTAAGATTGAGGGGTGCCTGGGTGGCTCAGTCGGTTAAGCGTCTGCCTTTGGCTCAGGTCATGGTCTTGGGGTCCTGGGATGGAGCCCCACATCGGGCTCCCTGCTCAGTGGGGAGTCTGCTTCTCCTTCTCCCTCTGTCTCTGTCTCCCACTTGTGCTCGCTCTCTCTCTCAAATAAGAAATCCTAAAAAAAATTAAGATTGATAATGGAGCTTTGGGAATTAACCACTAAGAGGCAGCTGTTGAAGTCACGAGAACAGTTAAGAGGGTTGGAAGATGGCCCGAATGGGGAGGGCGGAGGCAGAAAGTCCAGGAGTGCCGGCACTAAGCAAGGGTGGGCGCAGGGCACCAGAGGGCTGGAGGGAATGCTTCAGGCCAGGCCTTTGTGGGGGTGCTGTGGGTCAGTTTTACTTAAAAAGTCAGGTCCCCTTACTTAGGGCTACTGAGAGTTGGAGTGGATAGGGGAAAACCAGGTTCTGAGGAATGTTCACTCATGTCTTAGGGCTCTGAGGCCTGAAACGACACAAAACAAAAAACCCTCTCTTAAAAAAATATGACCTCGGGCGCCTGGGTGGCTCAGTTGGTTAAGCGACTGCCTTCGGCTCAGGTCATGATCCTGGAGTCCCTGGATCGAGTCCCACATCGGGCTTCTGCTCGGCAGGGAGTCTGCTTCGTCCTCTGACCCTATCCCCTCTCAGGTGTTCTCTCTCTCTCAAATAAATAAATAAAAATCTTTAAAAAAAAAAAATATGACCTCGATAACCTATCCTTCCACCAAATTCATGATTTACATTTTTCCATGTTTTCTTTCTAGTCCCTATATTATAGTTGCACAGTTTTGCAGTTAAGATCAGAACATCTATATATCTCTTTTTTCTGCTTTTTAAAATTTTACTATTTCAAAAATTGTTACCTTTTTCTTTATAGTTGTCACTATTACGGCTGCATGTTCTTGATTGAACACTAAGATTTTTTTCTAAATTTTTTTTTATTATTACAGGAGTGCTACAGGTAATATTTTTGATGTAGTTCAGGCACGTTAATGTTTTTGAATTATTTCCTTGAGTCAGGAATTGAAAAAAGTCTTTAAGCCTATGTGGAGCATAATGATTAAGAATGCAGATTTTAGAGATAAACCTGGCTAGGACACATGGGAATCATGTGGCTTAGGTCGTGTTCTTAAACCACTCTGAGCTCTTATTTCCCCATCAGTAAAATGGAGCACGTACCCACCTAAGGCTATAGCTCTGAGCATTTCGTGTGGAGTATGTGTGCAGCTAGCCTGTGATAACCACCCCAGTACATGTGTGAACTACTCTTGATATCTGTGACATTTTGAATAATTATTTCCGAGTGGGGTCCTCTGGGATGTTTTATAAGAATATAATTTAATTTAACAGACTTAGAAATTTATCCTGTATCCCGAGGTAACTGTGATTTGTGTCTTCTGAAGCCAAGTGAGAAAGCAGGCCTTTGTCTGGTTTTCCATTGGCATCGTGCAGTTTGTGTGTGTTTGAGAAGATAAGTTGCAGCTAAGTAACTGAGCTGCAAGTCAAGCTCATTTGAAAGACATGCTACAACTGGAGGCAGACAACCCTGACTAATTTGGGGTACCTTGACATCGCAGAGGCAGACTTTTTCTGCCTCTAAGCAGAGGCTTACAAGAAAATACAAGCGGCTGGACCTACGAGTTGCAGGACCTCCCCACTTTGAATGTTACTTGAGGTATATAACTGGTTGTGAAAGAAAAACTGTCAGCTCGTTTGGACCGATCCAGATTTTGCTGTCTCGTGCATCTCTCCTTTAGTGTCAGGACCCCAGTTCTGACGCTGATTAGCTGTGGTTGTGAATGGGGTTTGATTAGTAATTTTTCCTTTTTTCCTGTTCGTTGAGTGAAATGACCTTTCTCCAAACTACGTCTAAATCTGAATTTCCGCGTGCTCTTTAAAATACTCTTCTAGCATTAAAGAGTAACATTTAGGGCTCGTGGGTAACCTTTGGCCTCATTTTCTGTCTTTTTCCTAATGGTCTCTTGTATGTCTTTCCTGGCAGAACACGCTGTTGCAGCAGCTGGGAGTAGCACCTTTCTCTGAGGGCCCTTGGCCCTTGTACATTCACCCTCAAAGCCTCTCTGTGCTTTCACGCCTTTTGCTCATCTGGCAACATAAAGCTGGCGCTCAAGGTGATCCTGATGTCCCTGAATGCCTTAAAGTTTGGGACAGGTAAGAGAACTCCAGGAGAAGCCCTGCAGAGAAGGTTATGTGCTTTTTTAATTTGTTTGACTTCTCTGTAGTTAGCCTGGGGCTCTGAGGTGGTATCTGATGGTAGGGTATACGGTGGTGAGGGCGGAGGAGTATGTTTCTGATGGCTTTGGGGGAAGATGTGCTGTTTAAGAAGCAGAAGTACCTAAACCATGGTTTGGAAACAAAATCATCCCTTAGCACATGGGGGATATGGTTGCAGTTAAGAGACAGAACCTGAATCCTGAACATAGCCAATTTTATCCTGACCTGATTTTCTGAAAGACCGGGAACAGGGAAGCCAACTCTGTCTTTGGTTATTTTGCTTTCATCATGAAAACCACTCAGGGTGACTTGCAGTCTTTTTTGGACAACTTTTAAAGAACTGTTTTACTTGGGGGAAGCTCAGATTAATCATCTAAATCCTCTTTAGATGGACCTATATTTGCCATTTTTGTTTACATGGTTAAGAGTCTTCAAAGCAGTTTGTTTTCCTAAAAGGCTTTGCTTTTCTCTTCCCCATACTATGATCAAATAGCTCTAATGCTGGATTTGAGGAGTCATAAACCTCCTGGAATGCCAAAGTCCCACTGTATTTTTCTTGGTGGAATCTTGCAAAAAGGCCAGGAGGTGGGGGAGGGGGCGAGGGGGGAGCGTAGGGGGATGGGGTGAGGGAAACCCTTATTAAAACACAAATCTCTTTCCTAAATTAGCCAAAGGCAATGGAAGCAGTTGTCTACATTCATTCCTTTTTTGCATAAAAGCTCTTTAGACAAGTTCTCTGAATAGTATAATTTATTTTTTATTGCTTTTTAGTACATTGAGTTATTTTTGAGTGCTATCATGCAGTGCTTTTAACCTGTAGTGTAAACTCTCAAAATACAAATTAAGCTGTAGAATCAAATTATAGGGAAAAGTAATTGAACGGTTTCTAGTTTATAAAATTGTCCAGGTTCATTAATTAAAAAAAACAAGCCACCTTTTGGGGGAGCTTACAGTTCTTTTCATGGTCAGAAATGGCAGAGTGGGTGTTTACACTACCGCCACAGTCGACAGGGAATATTCTGTGGCCGAATTTACCTTTTTCGTAGCCAAGGTTGAGTTTTTAATCTTTTTACGTGTAGATTTTTGTCTTCCTTGATTTGTTATCTTAATGCCTGGGTTTAAAAAGCTTAACTCCTCCAGCCCTTGACATTGTAAATCTTGGGGGATGTTCGGATTTCTTTCACCAGACACTTTCTCCTTTTCTCTGCGGTAGGTTTTTGTCGACAATGAAGCAGAATGCCCTGCAAGGGGTGGTGCCCAACGAGACGGAAGATTTGAATGTAGAACATCTGCAGCTGCTCCTTCTCATTTTTCACAATTTCACTGAGAAAGGCCAGCGGGCCATACTGACCCTTTTTGTGCAGATCATCCAGGAGTTGAGTGCCAACATGGATGCGCAGGCGCGCTCCGTGCCTCTCATCCTGGCTCGCCTCCTTCTGATCTTTGATTATCTGCTTCATCAGTACTCCAAAGCCCCTGTGTATCTGTTCGAGCAGGTACAGATGAACACACTGTTTTTGCTTTACTAGCTGTTATTGAGTGTTGTTTTTTTTTTTTTTAAAGACTTTATTTATTTATTTGACAGAGACACAGTGAGGGAGAGAGCACAAGCAGGGGGAGTGGGAGAGGGAGAAGCAGGCTTCCCGTGGAGCAGGGAGCCCGATGCGGGGCTCAATCCCAGGACCCTGGGATCATGACCT